CGATGAAATATTGAGAAAAGCTGAGGGACTATTGTAAGTGTGAAAGGGTTAAGATGAAGATTAAGAGAATAACTGCGAGAGTTCGCGAGTGCCCTCCAGAACCCCCACAATTTCTAATTTTGCTCTGACAAATTAGAGAGTAGCATGGGAGAGTCTTAGCTGTTGGGATCCAACATTTCCAGCCATATGGTAGTGATTTGGAGCAGTGTGACGTGCAGGGGTTAGTTTTAATGACCAGGCTTCCAGTGGCAGTCAAGCCAATGCGCCGCAGTCTCAGACTCTGTCAGCTTAATCATTCACTGGGACACGTACAAACAACAAAGCTCTTTTGATCTGCACCTAGACATTTCCCTCTGTGAGCTGCTGTACACAATGTCTTTTATATTTACTTGTTTTATCTGGCTTTTATTACATTAAGTAATTACAGTCTAATTTTTTTCATCAAGTGGTTAGAACGGTTTCGCTTCTAATGCATTTTGTTCGGTAGCTTGTGTTTGACTTGGGAAATAAAAGTTCACTCATGATTCTAAACAAAAAAGTGGATGAATAAAAATGCTGAGTGTCAAATCAAAAACATTTTCTGTACGTGTTAATTGATTTAGTCAAATTAGTCAATTTAATCACATATACTCTGCTTAATATATACTTGTATATACTCAAATTAGTCACATACACTCTGGTTAATTGATTAGTCAAATTAGTCACATACACTCTGGCTTTGAAAGAAAATTAATGGAGATGATTCAAGACTACAATACATCAGACAATTAAAAAATCATACACAATTCAAAATGTCTTTATAGTTATTACATATTTTGTTTAATTTATTTGAATCTGGCATATTTTTTATAAAACAAACAAATTACACTTTAGAAGTCAGTCAATGATTATAAATCAACTGATTTATGTTAGTATAAAATACATATATAGTTTTATTTATTACTAGTTATTTTTATAGTTTTCTAAAATAAATATATCTGATTTAATTATAAATAAATGCTTTTCATATTATAGCTCTATAGAATTATATTTATTTGTATAGTTAAAAAAAAAGAAATGAGCAACACCACACGTGTAGCAGTGCGATATGGCTGTTTATCGGCACAGTCTCAAAAATCCTTTTGGATGAGAAACTACTTTTTTCTGTCATTCATTCACATCTCCAGCTGGCAGTCAAAACAGCAGAAACCGTTGCTTAAAACACGTCATTTTAGAGCTAGTGTCTGAATGCTTCTCCTGCGTAATGTCTAAAGTGATGACAAAACAAATGATTTTGCCCACATTTTAAGATTATAAGGCTGAACGGCATGAAATGCCATCAGTCTACAATGATCCAGTATTTCTGTTGCAATTGGGAAATCACAACAATTAACCCAGAAAAAGCCAAAGCAAAGTAAACATTACAAGATTACTATAGTATAGATACAGCATTACAACATACAGTACAAAAAAAAATTCAATTTATAATGTCACGTTTCTTCCCCTAAGCACTTATTATGTGGTCTCTGTCGCCATCTTGTGGCGCAACTATCTTTGCTATGCTCAATATGACGGGCTGATGCCGATCTCTGAAATTATATATATTTAAAATAGGCACTATCCTTATGAATAAACTCCATAGTTGCAATCTAAACTACATTCTCGCCTAATAATCATCCATCAAAAATAAATTATTATGTCCAACAGCTGCAATATTTGTCATACTGTAGTGTTGATCTGCTGTCTCTCTATGTGGGCGGAGTAAAACAGATGAGGCTGCACGAGTTCCTGTTATAGCAGAATATCGCATGGCTATCAGCCAATCAGATTGAAAATTGTCTCTAGGCTGATGGCATATTATGCTATTTAGCCTTATAATCTTAAAATAGGAGCAAAATCATCTGCTTTGTCATTACTCTAGACATTATGCTAGAGAATCATTGAAATACTAGCTCTAAAGTGACGATAGTGAAATAAGCAACGGTTTCTGCTGTTCTGACGTCAGCTGCTAATGTGAATGGATGGGGGAAGTAAGTAATTCCTCGTATAAAAGCATTTTTTAGACTCTCTGTGTTTGATTTTCTTGTACATACATGATTATGCTGTAAAACAGTTTTACAAAGACAATATTACACTTGTAGCAGTGCGAAATGGTTGTATATATCGTGACTGGTGGGACACTTAGGCATGCCTCCCACCAATGCCGATATACAGCCATAACGCACTGCTATGTGCGTGTGATATTGCTCATGTATATACATCTTTTTTTTCACCTTTGTTGGGTTTTCACCTTTAATGGACAGAACACTAGAGCATATTGACAGGAAAGTGTGGGGAGCAGAGAGAGGGGAATAATTGGAATAGGACCTCAAGGTAGGAATTAAACTCGTGTCACCATGAGCACCAGAGTACATGTGTCGATGCACTACCACTATTGGTGCTGACCATTTTTTGAATATGTTACATAAAAATATAAAAAACTTCTTTCTATTCCTTCTTTTACTATTGAAAAATAAAAAGGATACCGATATTTATTTTCATTTTGTTCGTTATCATTAGTCTAATAAGTTAGCGGCAGGGAATGCTCAATTTGTTGTGTTGTGTTATACAAATAAAGGATTTTACTTATTTAAAAAAAATAATCAAAAAATTAAATATGTACATTAAAATGTTTTTAATATATTTATTTATTGATTAATATATTCATTTAATATATTTATTTATTATTTATTAATATATATTTTTTATTTTATGATACATTTCAACATACACCCAGTGGCCATCTGCCTTTGATTAGGCTTTAGCACTTTTAATGAGACTGTAGTTTATTATTTCAAGCATACTCATTTGTTTGAACGTGGATGACCATGAAATATCACACCCAGCCTTTGTTTGCAGCATTGCTTTTGGCTGTTCATCCTGCTATCTTCAGCTCATGATACCCAGCATGAAAAGCATATGTTTCCACCAGCATGTTGGCCACACATGAAAGCACAGTGCGGTGTGACAGCTACTACAGTCAATTATAATAACTGGGCTAATCCTCTGATCTGTGATTCTCCTGACACTGTTTATCTATGTTTAAAACACTAGCATTAGGACAGCCGTGCACATGGCAAACAGGCCAGTCGACCCGAAAGCAGTAATGGGCTTGGTTTGGAGTCTAGATGGCAAATTAGTCAACCAAGTGACACTTCTCAAATAGCCAAGACACTTCCATGCAACAGCTCCTATTGGAAATCAAGTAAACAGGTCTGTAATATTGGTGTTCATCATCATAAATTCAAACGCTTATACTCTATTTGACATTATTTTAATAAATTCCACTCAGTGACTTCACTGATAAACTGTAAGCTTCATAAAAGCCCGGTTTGTTAGTTTGAAGTCTGAATTTAATAACTATGGCCCTGGACCTCACAGACAGAACATAAGAGGAATTTCCTTTGGTTGGAAGCAGCACTTTGTTTCCACTGTCAAGCTATTTTTTATAAGGATTTCAAACTATTTATGTAGCTGAAAAGAATATAAAATAATGATCTTGTGGTCTATCTTGCTGAAATGTTGCACATTGAGTTTGTTTAGTGAGAAAGGGTTAAGGCATGTAAATAAATGCAAACTTTGATTGGATGATGTTTTTGATTGTAATGCAACAACGTGAACCACATTAAAATCATAATTGTCAATATCTATGAATTGGAACCACTTCTCACTTCCTCTAAAATCATCTGGTCCAACTATTTTTGAGATAAACAGATTTACTGAACTGTTTCTTATCAGTGCATCAACATGTCAACATATTTGTGATTACTCTTTCCACCTTTTTTCCCCAAACTAAATCCACCCTTGCAGCTGTTAAAGCAGAGCTGTTGACTGTTGATTCAGAGTGGATCACATTTCCTTATGATAAGCCAGTGGAGAGGTAAACCACAGAGCTGTCTGTATACCTGTCACAACGTAAACACAATTTAGCCCAAACCTAATTCAGGGGAATGAGAAAAGCTAAGATCAAATGTGGCAGACAATCTGGATTTAAACTGCCAAAAAGGGATATAAACCAGCACAAACAAGCATAGGGTATTGCATATATACATACAACAAATTGTACATACATTTATGCATGCATGCATACATTTATCAATTTACAAATTAATCAGTTATTTAATATGAAAAATATATATATATATATATATATATATATATATATATATATATATATATATATATATATATATATTCATGAAATGATCAACTGATAATTTTTGACATAGTTATTAATTTATTTTACATTTTGTTATCATTATGTTTTATCATTTGCTGTTTATTTTAGCCTAAAAAACTTTAGACAAAAAAATTAACTACTGAATTAATATGAAGGAATTTTACATATGCAGTGTTGCAGGTTTTTTAATGACCAAATAAAATTTAAACTAAAACTGAAAAATATTACAATATATTTAGTTTTTAAACTCAGGCTAATTGCTGAATTGTTGCTCAGAAATATTATTATTGTATTGTTATACACATTTGATCATTATTGTTGTTGTTGTTGTTGTTGTTGTTGTTGTCGTCATGCTGCTTATTGTATTATACCATTCTTTCATTAACAGAAAGTCCAAGAAAAACAGTTATTCAAAATAGAAATATTTGGTGATATTTTAAATGGCTGATTGTCACTTTTGATCATATTAATCACCAACATTTTAATATGACTTTTGCAGACTTACATAATCCACAAGTGGTTAAAGCTAATTTTATGATTCCTTCACGATGATTTTGCACTCTTTTTAGAGCTTGACATCTGTAGCCATTCATTCACAAGAAATGGAAAACTTTGGACAGGAGTTTAGGTAAATAAAGCCAGAATTCACGATCACTTTGAGATACATCCACAAACTTCTCGCGTCAGCACGTCTTATTAACACCAGCTGTCATTATCACCACACAGAAAATGCGCAGAGCTACAGGTACAGTACACCTCAAACTTCTTCTTATTTCACCACATAAAACGCAATGGCACTTACAAAGACGCAAACGAAGTCCAAGCCAGCTCTTTGGTGGCGATCCGTATCGATGCATGATGTGCTGTTATTGTTAACCATGAGTTAATTTCTAAGTCCTCCGTCTTCATGTGTTGTTCTCAGTGATGAGATCCGACCACACCGCGAGGATCAGCAGCAGTACAGCAGACATGAGCTCTGACGCGCTGCTGGCAGACCTCCAAAAACACAAGCGCCACACACTTCACCAACTAACTTTGATTACTGACATGCTTATTTCACGTATAGTACACACTGCTGCCCGATATCATATCAGGCATTGCATAACTATGGTTTCGTTGTATAATCCTATGCTTGATTGACATCTAATGAGCTACACCTTGCGTGCGCTGTGGAGACACAAAAGGACCTGTTGACTGTCGTTGACGCACGAAGTTTTTGTTTCCTTTCTGGCTTCGAGGTTTACTGAATCTTATTGAATCGCGTTGTAAGAACATTACATGCCATATCCTCTTTCAAAGTCAACATGGCTTATTTTTAGCATGCACTGCTTTGTGTCATGCTTAAAAGAGCAGACGTTCTTCACTAAATACACGTGTTGTCTCCTTGTCCCACCAACTTCACTGAGTCTCACCTGCTGTAAACATCCCTCACCATCTCCAGTCTTTTGGCAATCTAACATTTCATTTTATGTTTCTAATTGGATATTTAAAGGCAAAAGGATAAATTTACTTTTCTCTCCTACACTGCCTCTCATTTCTAAACTTGGAACCCTTTCTCAGGCACTACTGTATTGTGGTACAATGATGTTGTACAGTATAGCATAGAACTGATTGAGTAAAACTGTGCTCTGATAACTGTACAAACAGTACCATTGTATGGACATTTAACATACAGTAGAAGCATTATTAGAATCAGCTGGTGTGGTTGTTTCTAAGTGGTAAGTATGTTTAAGTATCATGGTATAATTCAGTCTTTAATAAGAAAATAGTACTTGTCCAAAAAAAGCAAGCTGTTGCCATTGAACATCTTTAAGGGACATTTTAGATATTTTTGTTGTACCATGCTCTGGACCCTTTTCAGAGTTTGTGAGGTAAAGTGTGTCTAACTATAAACATTGTTTGATATTTTGAGTTTTAAAAATAGGATGTACGTTTATTATAATGTGATAGTACATTGGCATTAATTTAGCCTTCTAGCTAACATTGCAGTATAGTGTTACTAATACACTCAAAAAAAATTCATGGATTTTTCTCCTGCTTTTGGAGCAAATGTGAATGCAAAAACTAAAAAATGTACTGTAATTCCTATGTTGACTTCTAAGAACCCTGTAAATGTAAAAAGGCTCTTTGTGATTTCCATGGTTTAATATACAGTACATGCGCCAAACTCACAAACATTAATTCTTTGTCTTTATGACCCAGTTTCACAAACAGCGCTTAGATCAAGCCAGGACTAGGCCTTAGATAATGTAGGCTGTTTAAGCCACATTTATAAAATGACCTTAGAAAAATATATTACTGGTGTGCACCTGGAGACAAAAAAATGAGACTGACATATTTTAAGACATCTCCCCGCAAGATATTTTGAGTTGAGACAGCTCAAACATGCAATTTAATCTTGACTAGCCTTAAACCTTGTTTGTGAAACCGGGGGTATATGTTGTTTTTTAAGTGCTATCAAATTTGAACCAATGTATACATTGATATATTGACTGATATTAGGAATTTTGTTAATTATCAGCATCTGTGAATAAGTGCTGAAACCAAAACCTTTGTTTTGACAGCTTGTAAAAAAAAGGAAATCAACTGTATATAGTGAAAGTACACTATAAACAAGCATTGTGTTTTTTTTTTCGCTCATTTTAAATAAGTAGTTTGAACAAACAGCAAAATCATTTTACCTAGTGTATTATTGTGCTTAAATTTTTTTAGTAATAAAAAGTCAATTGCAATGTTTAAAATATACTATCAACATTCAACAAATATGCATCTCTATGCTTAAAAAGGTCATTGAATATCTGATAAATATTTGGTTACACTTTATATCCATGGGATTGTTGATTATAAAGTAACTCATGCTTTTGAACTCTCATTAGAATAGAATATTTGGAATCATTTTCATTTGTAAACAAAATGGTTATGAGTTTCGGCTGTTTGTTTACATGACAACAGTGTTTGAGGGGACTAACATCACAAACTTTGAAATGGGTTTCATAAAGTTGGTACTACATTTGAACTTACTTCATGACCATTAGAAAAGTGGCTTATGAGTTAAGAGCAGTATGAGTAGTATGAATGAAATGTAGAACATACTACATCCGCCATGTTGTCAGCATCATATGGCCTACCCAAGTCAGTTATAAACAGTCATAAATTCTCTTGTGTGGCCTGGCCTCATGGGATAGTAAAGTGTCCAATGGGTGCACAATTCAGAAGTAGTAGATAGTCTGGGCACATCTTCCCTACTGCTCTTTGAATACTTTAAATTTAGACATACAACGTGGATCAAATATTGTATTTTTTCACATACTGTATAGTATGGAGACGTTTCTTTTTGGATGGTTTCAAACACTTAAATTTGAGTAAATAATGAGGATTTTATTTAAATTTTTGAGTTAACAATCTTAATCAAAAGTTTAAAGGCCATGTGAAATCAAAATGTGTTTATTTTGCAAGTGCATGTGGTTATTCTTTCGGTGGAGATTTAATCAGTGCAAATCCACTATTTTATTATTATTATTTTTTGTTTGGTAATCAAAGTCTGACCTTTTGCTTCCACATTTTGACTGATGGTTTTCAGTTGAAGTCAGTTTGACGGCTTCAGCTAACTACGCCCCTCTTACCATTAGTTTGCTATGAGGGAATGATGCAACAAAAACAAGTCCCGCCCCCTACTAAATATTCCATTTCAGTTGGAAATACATCAAAATACTGGGAAAAAAAACTCTTAGCAACTTTCGGTTGACTCTGCTTTAATGTGATGCATATACTGTTGCTTACACTGGACACATATGCTCTTTATTTACATACATCACAATCAGCTGTTAAATGTTTTAAATTCTCATCATAAATCATAAAACTACCTTTCTTCAAAAATACGCAGAGTCTCTTCCAAGAAGTGAAGTAAATGAATAGAGCCTTCTCTTCCCAGCCTTCCCCCGATTTCTTTTCATCTCTTAAATACAAGCAAACCTGTTGCTGGCTTGCCAAGCCGGCCATATGTGGAGTATTAACCCACTGCAGCTCTTTCTCTCCCTGTCTCCTCTATATTAAACACCTTGTACAGAAACCACACTAACTCAGACTGACTTGATTATCTACACTAATACCCACTGTTACAACTATTTGGGTTATTTGAACTGTTCCTGACACACTGCATCTGGAGAAAAGATCCATCGCTGTTGTGAAACTCAGTCATTTGCCATCTATCACAATTGTCCTTCTATAGACAGTGAATCATGTGGATGGAATGTGAAAATGCTGAAGGTGTCTGGACCTTTGAGGTGGACATGATGTTTTTTCGACTGGTGCCCCATATGCCTTGGTCTGGATGATCTATACATGTGTTGTTTTGGAGCAGATCCCATCAACGTGTAGAGGATCACTCTTATCAGGTGTGACAAATCCCTAATCCATTCGGGCTTGACAACAACTATGCTTTTATAAACCCGAGTCTGTGAGACATTTTAGGGGGAGGGCGAATCTGGTTTTAAGCCTTATCACCTGACTGTGGTCTGTAATCTGAAACAGATTAAAACCGATTACCTCATTTTTTATAAAAGCGTGCACACAAATATACAAGGCTGTCCTTTCCACGAAAGTAAACATGCTCGTATGAGCTCATATACTTTGATTTGGAGTGATGAATAATACATTAACGATGGTGTTAATGAAATGCCCATCATTATCATTCACACATATGCTGTCTGTTGGAAATGATCATGACTTTTTTATTTGAGTTGAGCATGTGTGTCTGCTCAGACTCATCATGGCTAACTGTCTCCACAGGCTCTTCTTAAGCTGATTAGGAGCTCGGCAGATTAATTAATTCATTTGGAAATAGAATAAATGTGTTTAGGCCATTAAATCAGTAGGAAATTGGGACTATGTGTACATTTTTTACACGTGTACGTTCTATTACATGTTTAAAAGATATTTCAAGAGTTCACACTTAGCTGATGATTGATTATAAGCAAGTTTGGCATGCTGTCCCGGGAGAGAGCCCTGAGCTCGAAGGTTCTTGAGCCCTGGGCTCCCTCCCGTTTGGAGGAAGAGAGGGGAGCCTCGAGCTCAGGTAGATCTCGACAACTCCCCTTTTTATAATAGCTAAAGATTAAGACTGAAGGCTATTAAAAGATATGCTGCATTATTAGATTACCTGTATTGAAATTTAGATTTAACGATTAACTTGTTGTACATGTTTTTGAAATGTGGGAGGAAACCGGAGAACCCGGGGAAAACCCACGCAAGCACGGGAAGAACATGCAAACTACACACAGAAACGACCACCGGCCTGTTAAGGAACTAGAACCGGTGACGTTCTTGCTGTGAGGCGACGGTGCTAGTCACTGAGCCACCGTGCTGCCCTATGGAGGGAAAGGTGAAAAGGTAGGGGTGGAAGGGGGGATTCTTCAAATCGAAGATGACTGTAGTGAGAAAACCCTGGCTCTTTATAGTGGTTAGGAATGGCCTGATTGGTGGATCAAGCATGCTAATGCAGGACCAGCCGTGTTCAATCATAATCACGTGCTCCTCTCGAAATTAGTTTATGAATAAACTTCACATATCTACAACTTTTAAAAAAAAATACTGTATGGCAATTATCAAACTATTAGCATTGAAAATGGCTCAGTTAAATTAAGAATATATATTGAATATTGATAATCGAATGTAAAAAAAAAACGCAATTTTTTCAAGCAATTATAGTACCAAAATAAATATCACATTAACCCAAAATTTCTGACATTTCTTAATACTTTATTAATTGAAAGTAATTTAGTAAATTAATATTATATTTATTTTTAGAATTACTTAAGTATTACGACAAACTTTTAGTTTTATTTAAAGCAAAAAACAAAAATGCTGTTTAATGGAGAGAAAAAAATTTTTTCAGGACATTTAAAAAACATGACAGTTTTAATAGATCATTTAAAATGATTAATTTTGATATCTGCAAGATGACAGACAATGTTTTACTAGTTACCCTTGAAATCGGAATTATTAAACCCCCTTTGATTTTTTTTGTTTGATTATTTAAATCTTTGATATTTGAAATGATGTTTAACAGAGCAAGGAAATTTTCACAGAATGTCTGATAATATTTTTTCGTCTGGAGAAAGTCTTATTTGTTTTATTTCGGCTAGAATAAAAGCAGTTTTAAATTTTTTTAAAGCCATTTTAGGGTC